CCCTACACTCATCCTCCCTTTTCTTCCTCCTGATGAAAATGTATTCATTTGAAGAGATTCCTCAGGCCATTGAAGAGCCGTAGAGCCTTCAGCTCACCGCTTCGTATATCTCTCAATCTCCTCCTCAATATCTGAAACACCATAACCATGAATGCGTCTAAAATTCTCATGTATCATAGCTACTTGCATTATAGATATATATATAATCCTTACGTATTGGGCACGGTACAATATTCTGCGTTCGCTGTTGCACAGGTCTACTGCCAGCTGCTTCAGAAACACTCGTCGGTTAAGTTGTTTAGGAGATGTTATGTCCAAATCCATTGATCCACTTGCCTACGAGATGATGGAGCCCTTTTAGCAGCTTTTTGATCCAGAAGAGAAGAGGTGAGTGACAAAAGAAGATGGAAAAGAACCTGCAAGAATTTGCTGTACTTTGAGATGCTGGCTTCACAACTGTCCAGGATGAACTGAAGAGCTTCCTCCTCAATCTCTGGAAACTTTATGTCCTTCTTTGTTGTTGACTTGTTCGAAGCTGCTGCCGCCATCTGAAAAGGAGATCGCCTTCTTTTTTAGATCGGAGGAACATCGAGATCATGGTTATGAGGGAAAAAGCCTTACCTCGTCAAAGCGGTTTCTCATATCTGATGGGCTCGCTACTAAATAAGCATATGCCATCAGCTCTAATGGCCAACCTGTTACTCTTATGGGAAAGCACTGAGGCCTGCCCACGAAGCAATTTTGTACGGACAAGCAAATAAAAAACACAATGAAAGTTCATCGGGAGGGTTCTAGAAATCGGTGACATGAAATTCACACAACCGGATTGGATTGTTGCTTACGTGGTCAACCCGTGTTTCCTTAAAGCATCCAACTTTTCCTTGTAGCACTTGTCAGTTTTCCTAAGTGATACAGATAGCTCAACTGAATCACTGGGGTTGGTTCCTTCCCCGGGAACAAAACCATACGACAGCAACAGCTCTCCATTAGATTTGTTGCCGTACGATATGAAAACCTGCGGGTGAAATCATGTAACGAAAACAAATCAGGGAGCTAAGGCAGACTCTGGTTCCTCGAAGAAATCAGCTTGCTTGGACTAAGCCGTTACAGTTAAGTCCATTTAATGTGGAATCAACCATAATATTGTTTACCTGCTCACCTGGTTGATACGGTCGATCTGTCGTAAAGACAACTCCCTTCGAAGACTTATCATAATCCAAGAATGTCTTAACCTATCCGGCCAAAAAGTTGGAACATTTGCTAACATAAGTGTACCATCATGTCCACTGAAATGTATCTTGGAGGGCTATATATACATACCTCGCAATTATGATTGAGCATATCAGCCCACGGGACTAGGGCAAATCTTCCATCCATCGATGGCAGCCGCACCTACAGTGTCCATTGGGTTAAACAACATAACTGACCCACGTAAAGCAAAGGACTGCAGAAACAGAACACTTTGACAGAAGCAAAAATCCCGATGTTGTAACAAAACCTGCTTACCAACCGTGAGAAGAGGATACCGAAAGACCATATGAACGTCTCAACATTAAAAACCTGCCAAAAACGTGTGATTACAAACTCATTTAAATATCAACATCATTACGTAGATGCAATATGTGTTCTACTCTCATGAAGCGCAGATATGATGCATGGTAATTCCAAATGACAGAATGGAACTACTAAGGGAAGCAAATACAAAAGTGTAGTTTGCCGATGAGAAACAAGAAACCACCACACAGCAGAAATAAACATGAACAGCGAGAGGACTTGAAAGACAAGAGAATGGCAACTCTTTCAAAATATGTAAGACCATCAAACGTAAAGAGAAAAGTTTTACCTCCTCAGGGAATAGGAGAGGATGCTTGGAAAATATCCTGCTCCTTAAATCGTCGTAACTGGAAAAAGAAGACGTAAGAAGCAGTCAAGAACAAACTCAGAGATCACACCCGAAACACACGCATACAAAGAGGTTTAGAAGGGGACAGATTCTCACGTTCCGAGAACATTCGTAACTCTTTCGATTGCTCGTTCCCGGATCTGTGAAGCTTCCAAGTACCTGTCTAGTTCTGCGCGAGTCCTGGAAAAAATACACACACAAAAAAAAGCTGTAGGAAGAAGAAAGTTGTAGAATTTCACGAGGAAACAAAGAAAATGTCTAAGGGAAAAGCTCGAAAAGCTATGGAGTTTACCAGTAGAGTAGGGAATAAGGCTGTCGTGGTAGAGCTGAGATATAGTTATACCAGACGGAATCATTTCCAAGGCTTGCTTCACTTATAAGGTAAGTAGCAAGCAAAGGCCAATCTGGAACATCGTAACGCTTCATCAATTCACCGGCCTCGGGTTTGCTCCACTTCTAAGATCCATTTTCCCCAATTTTGCAGCGAATTCAGCACAAGCAAAGGCAAAATTTAGACGCTAGGGTTCCAAGAGGTCTAACAAATCTGAAAATCTGAATTTGGAAAATTCCAATGATTCAAATTCTAAAGGATGGGTATTCGTTCCCTAATCTCTCAGAATTTCCCCGAAAACTTGCAATGCTCCGTGATTGCCCAGAAAACCCGAATTGTAAACTTACGGAATCAGAGGTGATGACGAGAGAGGGAGGGACGAAGAGCAGCTTCTCTCCCTTTCTGATGTTTTTCGAAGCGACGAGGCCTCGCTCTCCGATGCTCACTTTATCGATGGCCATTTTCTGCGGAGGAAGGCCCGAATCGGAGAGCCATCTCTGCAGAGACGTCGCGTTCTCCACGGAATCAACCTCGCAACCCCATGATATCTCCGGAGAATCCTCCTCAACGGAGGCCCGTCTCATCGCCTCGCCAGCAGAGACTGAGCAGTGGACCACCTGACGGCGTCGCGCCACCGCTGGCGACGGGAAAGAGAGGGTGGAATGTTGATCGCGGTGGAGCTTATGGAATGGAGAGAGGGTTGGGAAGAGAGCCGATTGCAGAACGATGGAAGCTTCTGCCATGGCGAAGCCAGAGAGAGAGAGAGAGAGAGAGAGAGAGAGAGAGAGAGAGAGAGAGAGAGAGAGG